CCAACACAGAGTTGACGACAGCGAATCAGCGACTGGGCTACGTCTCCTGGCTGGAGTGATGCGCCAAGCACAGTTCCAAAATGCTGAGGTGCATCGGCGATTTCCTGAAAAAACGTACGTTATCGAAACAAGGTCGAGAAAATACTTTTAGGCCTTTTACAAGAGCCTTTAGGTCCGAATAGCCATACGTAAGATAGCAACGGAGCAAAATCGAAAAACTCGAGGGTGGCAGAAAATATGGCTCATCACCCGCCACAGTACGGCACTAATAAGCGCGCGGTCGCGAAGCGGCCAGGCCAGGTCAGCTAAGGATCTGTTTTGCGACACAGTAGCTGATTTGCACAAACTGTTGACATGATGTGGTCAATGACCTTACTGTAATAAAGCTCAAACGGCTCCTTTCGATCTCCATAGCCACAAAACAATTTGACCGAATCTCGTAGCACGATCAAACAAGAAGCTCATACCCCTTTTCCATAAAAATCCCGCCCTCACAAAAAAACTTTCGCGTGGAAGCCTTATGCTGAAAAATGGACCCACCTTTGCCATCTCAAGAGTCATCAATCAAATAAAAGAGTGCACTTTCACGGCAGTTTAAGTCCTTAATCCCGAGCGTTTGTTTAACCTCAACAGCCCAAAGCCTCCATTTTTGAAAATGGTCAATTGGTGATCTAGCGCTTAACTAGCGGTCACCACATGCACATGTCCGGCTGACCGATTCTCACAGAACCCAAAGAACCACATCCCTCCATAGAAGCATAAATGGCGCCAAGATCACCTGGCAATGACAACACTAATTTTTGACTCTCATGTCCTTAGGGTGGACATTGAGGTTAGTGGGCCACTCATAGACCTCGGTACCATGCCTTAGAGGAGGGGAAAAGACTCTGGGAGAAGTTGTGTTTTCCCTGTCCTGGCTCAGTCCTAGTGTCACCTACCTGCGGTTTTTGAATGCCCTGTTGTGAATGTCCCCCTAAGGACATGAGTCCTAATTTGACATCGGGGTCTACGCAGGTCACCGAATAGGGGAGAGGCATTCAAAAAAACTAGGTTGCGAATGGAAGCCAAATTTTTGATGCATTCCAAAGTGCTATAATGTGCATGGGATTACTCACATCCAAAGGAGTGCACAACGGTTGCGAATTCATCAACACACATCCAAACGATCCATATACGCTGTCGTTGGTTTGATAGACAAATCCAACACCATCGTCGAAATCTGAAAGAAATTTACGATTATAAAACTGAAAATTAGGAGTGAAGAAAGGTCTTGCTAAAATAGCATTTTAACTAAAATCTGCTAACCGTCTTTCGTGATGTGACGCGCTTCCAGTGCTTGCTTTCCGATCACGTTGGTGCATAGTACAAATGCAGCGGCAGCGAAATATCTGAAACATGAAAAAGATAGAAACTCAAGAAAGGTCGATCCCTTGAATCGATATCATCGATACAGCAATTTTTACACCTAAATAGCGCGCACCGCATACAGATAACGACGGCCAATAACCAGGCGGCAGTTGGTGCTGTGTTCCTACCAAGCGCTGATTAAAATGGCAAGCTCAGGAAACCACTCACATAATAGTACGGCCTTAACCAAACTACACAACCACGTGAGGGACAACTACAAAATTCATTCAGCCTGTCTATGACCAAGTAGTGCACGAAATTTTCAGACTCTCTATGTGCAGGGATATTTTTCCAGTTACTTCTTCATTACATTACTTCCATGCGACTAACAAAGTCTAGGCAAACAATCGCGAAAGCCGTGCTGAATGACACCGGAACCAAATAACCAAAAGACGTTTATTTTGAAAAAGTCTGGGCGTACTATCAGTTCCCTTGAAATAAAGAAACTGATGATCGCGCCAACCACTTGCTCCCCTACGCAGTTAATTTCTCTGATGACTTCAATTTACATTTGACCATCGCCACCATGTTAAGCCTCATGTGCATACGTAGGCCTTATGTCATACCATAGTTCATTATGGGTCAAGTGGGCATGAATAGTCACATTTAGACACAAGTTATTGGAAATAATTGAGAATTTTCAGTATTTTTCAAAGCGATAAACTCGAGTAAGGACCGTAAGAATATAACTGTCTTTATGAACGGATCATGCAGCTGGATTTGTAAGGAAGCAAAATGATACCCAAGAAGTGAATATAGGTCTCAGTCGGGATGGGGTTAAAGTGGGGTAGGATACCTTCCTTGAAATTTTCAGCGAGAGAGAACGAAAACGTTAAATGCCTTGACATTCTAATACAGTAATACACAATCGATAACACTCGATTCCACAGGGACTCTCTAAGTCCTCAAATGCTAGTCTTGCCTTGCCCACCTGTGCATTTTTAACGAAAAATAACTCTGATGAAAGAAGAAAAAAGTTGCAGAGTAACTAACCTTCCTGGCGTCGCAATCACTTTCAGTTCTGGAAACTCTCTGCAAGAGAACAGCTGATCTAGACCGGCATTGATCACATCGCACATCTGAAACTCAAGAGATGTAATGTAGTAGCACTTTGTACCATTTTGAAGCACTTCAGACATTTCAGATTCAAGGGTCTCTTGCTCCAAACTGGAGTAATCTAATTGGAATCGAAGATCTGGCCTCGCAACCCACCTCAGGAAATCTTTGCTCTTTGTCCACCTTGCCGGCAGGGAAACCACCACCAAGGTTCACAGTGTTCAGTTCAAGACCGATTTGAGCGGCGAACGAGAACAATGTTCGCACTTCATGGAGCGCTTTGTAGTAGGCGCATGGCGATGCTGCCGACCCAAGATCAAAGCTGAAAACAAACGCAAGGTTAAGCAATAAAAACATGTTTACGTGGCCAACTTCTCGTTGTAAACTCGATTCTAAACGCCAATACTATTACCCATGTGTGCAACGGAATATCATTTTTAGAGGAAGAAACCGATTCTCTACAAATCCGAGTGGGAGTCAATGCATAGCGCGTTTAGACACATCATAAACGCCAAACATTTTTTCTCGCCCTCTTCAAACCAAATTTACCGAATTTATCACACATCAATTCAAGGCAGGCGAAACTCCTTCCATTAGCCTTTTTGAAAGTGCAGCACTCTTTCAAGTTTCCTGTGACTGGTTGACCAATCAAACATAATGTGTCGCACGGAATGTACATCTCTACCACCTCATTTACGCCCGATGCGAAACTATCTGAGATGAAGTCAACCTCTTTAGAGTGGCTAAATCTAGGCCCCACTGTGACATGGTGCACTGGTACACTACTACTTACACACATATCCAGAGAGGCCTAAATCTAACGTAACTTGCAAGAGACAGAGCGGACCAAAGTTCCGATATTCATTCACATTAGCCTGCCCCGAAATCATATAGAGCTTATCAAAATTTCAGCGTGGCTTCACTGTGACTCTTAAACACATACCAGATACACGGAGAAACGCTAAGAACCGGAAGCTAAGAGTAAGTATAAGTGTGCCACTCCACGGTCTCACCCTTTGGCACAGAATGTCCTGGATGAAGCACAAGAAGTGGTAACACTGATCTATGCCTCACGGGTGTGCGGTAGAGGCATAGCGCCGTACCGTGTAAAAAAATGAGGCAAAACAATCTGTACATCTGCAGAGCAGAGAATTGCACGAGCACCACGATAAAGGTCAATGACCAGTGCAAAAACAGAGGAATTTTCTATACCGACTAGCTTTGGCACTATATGACATGAATATGAGTTCAAAAAGAAAGAGAAGTAGGAGCATCAATGATTCTATCTCAAGCGAATTTCAGAAAAGAAAATGTTGAGCATAGTGCCCTTCGCGTTTCTACGTTAACAAAACATAACAAATCAAGCGCAGAATGACAAGCGCACTCTTCTTCCTTTACTTAGAAGCATCCCCGTTGCCTCCAGGTGCAACAAACCTCATAGAAATTCAGCAAAAAATCATAGCCGATAATCAGCTTGATCATTATCCAGCTGTACCCATCTCCGTGCCAACTCTCTGTGTGTCACCTTCAGCACTAGATATTATACAGGTGATCCTCCTTGGAATAGACTTGTTTCGACCTATACGATAAATACGTTGCATTTAGTATCCCGTTAGCCACACAAAAGCGACAAATAATCGCCAACAAAACTGCCGTTACTAAAACCTTCACATTGTGAGTGGCTGCAGGTTATTCAGATAATACAGTTTTAATATTTCCCCTTTAAACAAGCTTACTGTAAAACCAAATTCACCTATTTTAGGCTGACAAAGGCGCTAAGTGTCTACAGCTCGCTGAAAACCTTTTTAGATCTTTAAAAGCTCTCTGAATACTTTTGCTACTCTTTTCGTAAAAATCTTATGCATATGAAATTTTAGCCCACTGTTTTTAACACAGTTATTTTCTAGATTTTTCAGAGGTGCGGATTCAAAAAAACTGTTTGGTCCCGTTTCGCATGTGCCCTTAGACAGAGACTGAATAAAAACTGTCTTCTAAAAAATGTGTTCATAGCTGTTTGTTCTTTAGCAATCATAGATAAATGTGCCATTCCAGCGCTTGTCACCCTTTGACATCCAAAAGTCATGGATGACCTAACTTGAAATGGAGCTGATTTTGGCCTCTTTATAGAACGGTAAGCATTGTGATATCATACCGTAGCTAGCGAGAGGCCAGTATAAAAATAAATGACTGCAGATTATTTACGAAGAACTTCAAAAGATCATAGAAGATCGACTCGTGTCACCCTTCGACAACATTTAGTATTGGATAACCTCAGCCATCGTGTTATGCTATAGCTAGCGCAAGGCAAGAAAAATCCAGAATTAATGAAATTTCCCATAAAAAGTGCTCCACAGTGAATGTTCCGTTCCAGATGGTCACCCTTTGGTTTGGCACTATTGAGTCCTGGATGACTAAAGGATGGAACGGCTTATTTTTGGCCTCACTTTTGTACGGTACGTGCCGTAATGTCATACCGTGCCGGGAGAGGCCCTGTACAGCTGTTAGTTGGGAATTTGCATTTGAATGAATTGAATCATTTAAATGCAACGATACAATGAAAAAAGAGGCTCTAGATGTCCACAAATTTAGCATGCATAGTAGAAGTAAAAAAATATGACTTCAGATGTGAACAGCGCTGAAAATTTTGCGAAACTCAAGCACAGAACAAAGAGAAAGGGAGTCAACGGCATGTTCTTTATAAATCCCCCTGAATGGTGCTAAGTGGCGAAGTCTATTCAAAATCTGCAACCGAGCGCTAAACCGAGAGCTGTTCAGGAAACAGGAAATTACTTTCGAAAGCATTAGGCCTATAAAGGAATTGAAATAAATCAAGAACATCTGTAGAAGTCAACCCCAGCGTTCCCGTTCGACATGAATGTTTTACCAGCTAACCAGACCCGGATGGATGGGAGCTCGGTAGAATTAGGGGGTATCCAGCCTGGGATTCGATTCTCGAACCTCTCGAACCACCCTCATCTGTGTATCCTAGCTACAACAGATTCTTATGAAAAAAAAACCCAACAATCTCGATGTGTTTTCAACGGACTGATTTAATTCGCATTGTAGAGTAGTCTCTTACAGTAGCTAGCGCCGGGCTAAAATCAAGTCATACCAAGACAAATACTTCACAATGAACGTACCATTCCGGACCGTCACCCTTCGGCACTGTTATCACGCCCTGGATGAAGTTATAAGAATGGTGTCAATTTTGACCTCGTCATGGTACGGTAAGTAACACAATGTCATACCGTAAAGCCTCGAGGTCATTCCTAGCAAAGAAAATTCGTTAACTATGTTCAAATTTCCGTGAATCAGACTAGATTACAGCGCGAAGTTGACTATT